CCCCGTGGCTCCCCTTCGGCACCCCCCAAGTGGTGTGCCCTGGCTGGGGGAGGAGCGGGTGGCTTGTGATGCTCCCCCCGGCTGTGCCGCCATCGTCCCCGCATCGCAGCCTTCCCCCATTAAATGGCAGCTGCTCGGACCCCGCTGTGCTTCCTTTTCTTTACCCTCTCCAACACCCACCTGGGTGGTGGGACAGCCCGGTGCTCCTGTGCCGCAGACTGGCGTCCGCCTGAGATTCCCCAAATCTGTTCTCTGGAGCCTCCGCAGTCCCAGCTGCCCCCTGAGCCCTGCTCCAGCATCACCCATCACTCTCCTCCCCGGGGCCACCCTGGGCACCTGCTCCCCAGGGTGCCCCTTTGTGGCCCCGGACACGGCATCGGGGCTGCCCCACGTCTCTCCCAGTGCGATATTCCCACCCAAACAGGAAGAAGGTGGTAGGAGACGACGAGGGCAAGTCGGGGCACGCTGGCCCTGAGCCACCTGACAGCCCTGGCTGGGAAAAAAAAAAGGCTGGCGTGGGCAATGCCGGGTGTTTTGCCTATCACGCTTCCGGCATGGCAGGCTGCGCCGGGATGCAACCAGTGCTACACCAGATTGGGAACGTTCTTCCCTCGTGCCTCAGGGTGTGTGGAGATGAAAGGTGATGCCGGCTGCCTGGTGAGCGCGAGGCTGTGGGTGTCTTGTCTGGGTCTGGGGCTTGAGGGTTCCCAGCTCCCCCAGCCCTTCACTGGGAGTGGAAATGGAAAATGCTCCTGTGGCTCTGCGGTGCTGGTGGCTGGATGGAAACGTGCGCGCGATGCTCCAGCGAGCATCCCTGTTGGGATCCTCATCCCTGCCGCAGGCAGTAGTGCGCCATGTTTTGGGTGTCTGTTATGGCCCAGGTCCCATTGGCCGGGAAGGGTGCCCTGGATGGCTTCCCATCATCCTCCTGGGAGGCCAGTCTCTATTTCTCTGGGAGAGAGGGACTGAATTTTTGGCAAAGAGGGGCTTTCATGGACCAGGGGAAGCAAATCCCGGTGCTGGGTGTCCGTCGGGATGCCAAGAGATGAAAGGTGCTGGGGAAGGAGTGGGGATACCATGGGAGAGGAGAGGCTGGAGAAACCGAAACTGGGACTGGAGAAATCGCAGCAAAACCTCCTGCAAGCGCCGCAGGGTGTGCCGGGCACAGCCGATAACGCGCAGCCGATACTGCGCTCCTGCTCGAGGCTCATAAAAACTCGGCTGGTCCCGGTTGCCAAGCGCGGGTACAAGCACCCATGGGTGCACTCTGCCCCGTGGCAGTACAGGGCTCCGCTCCGTGCAGGACTGAGCAATGATTTGGGGGCACAGCAGCCATGTGTGACCGTGGTAGAGCCGTTGGCATGAGCAGCGTGTCCCCCTGTACCAGCCACCCCTTCTACCTGGGAATTTCCAGGGTGATGCCTGCGGTGACCCCAGGCTCCGCAGCCCCTCGCTGGGGGTTTGCCCCCTCGGTGTGGCTCCTGGTGTGAAGGGAGAGCAGGTATGACTGAAAGTGCTGAGCACCACGGCCCTATCGGAGGCAGACCTGAGCTCTGACCCATTTCCAGCACCCCAGAGGAGAAATCCCGGGTCCAAAGGGTGCTGCAGCGCAGCTGCCGAGGGCAGAGTAAAACCTGCCCTTGACCGGGGAGCAGCCGGTGCTGCCATGAGGGCAGGGGGCTGCCTCGCCTGCCCTCGCCCCCCAGCACAATGCTTGTGGGAGTGAGGCTGACGCAGCAGCAGTGGAGCAGGGCATGGGGTGGCTGCCATAGCAGGACGTGGGGTGAGTGTGTGTGTGGGGGTGTGCCTGTGCATTGGAACGTGCCAGGATGGGCACAGTGAGCCCCTTCTCAGAGCTCTCCCCTGCAACACTCGCCATGCGCATGACCCAGCTGGGATGGGGCGATGGCAGAGGACTGCCCTGTGCTGTGGGGACATTCTTAGGGGCCATGACACAACACACGGGGACTCCTACACCTTGGCTGCCTTGGGATATGGGCGCTCAGTGCCACACGTGTCCCTGTGTTGACAGGCAGCAATGTCCCATGCCATCCTGCAGCAATGCTACATGTCCCCATGCCATCCTGCAGCAATGCCACAAGCCAAATGTGGCCCCATGCCATCCTGCAGCAATGCCATGTGTCCCCATGCCAACCTGCAACAATGACATGTGTCCCCATGACAACCTGCAACAATGCCACGTGTCCCCATGCCAACCTGCAGCCACACCCACCCAGCTAGGAAGAGGGCGCACCGTAGCTGGTGCTCTTCAGAATGTCCTGTGGCTCAGGGCCGTGACGGTTGTGCCCTGTCCCTGCAGGTACTGTCGATGGCAATGTTGACGATGCAGACGGGTGGGCTGATGCTGGCCGTGCTGGGCTGGCTGGGCTCCATCCTCACTTGTGTGCTGCCCATGTGGAAGGTGACAGCCTTCATCGGCTCCAACATCGTGGTGGCCCAGGTCTTCTGGGAAGGGCTGTGGATGAGCTGCGTGTACGAAAGCACGGGGCAGATGCAGTGCAAGCCCTACGACTCGCTGCTGGAGCTCACCTTCGACCTGCAAGCGGCTCGTGCCTTGGTGGTCACCTCCATCTTCACGGCCTTCTTCGCCTGCCTCATTGCCATGTCGGGTGCGGACTTCACGGGCTGTGTGGAGCGCAAAAGCACCAAGCGCAGGATCTCCACCATGTCCGGTGCCATCTTCATCCTGGCCAGCATCATGCTGCTCATCCCTGTCTCCTGGTCTGCTCACAGCATCGTCAGCAACTTCTATAACCCCATGGTGCCCGAGGCCCTCAAGAGAGAGCTGGGGGCTGCCCTCTACATCGGCTGGGCCTCCAGCATCCTCCAGCTTTTTGGTGGGGGTATCCTGTGCTGCTCGGGACCCCCGTCCCGGCAGGATTCCTACGCCAATAAGTACAGAGCGGTGAAAACCTCCAGCCCGACAGGCTACACCATGAGAGACTATGTGTGAGCCACTGCGCCGAGGAGCCAGTCCGGGGCAGAGTACCACCATCCTGTCCTGCCTCCACGTGCCACCCCCCTGTCCACGCGCTGTCCCCTCCTGCCTGTCCCCGTGATGGCTGCGCTCCCAGCACCGTTCTTCCACGAGCGCCCTTCCCCGGGGGGCAGGAGCCGCGCTCGCGATGGACTATAAACCTCTTGGTGGCACTGAGGCTGCTTGGGCTCATTTCACAGCGGCACGGTGCGGGGAGGACAGTGACGTGTCCTAGGGGTGTCGTGCCCTGCCAGCACGGGAGCTGCTGCCCCAGCGCCTGGCATGCGCATCCCCCAGCAGGGAAACTGAGGCAGGGAGAGGGTGCTGAGAGCCGAGAGGGGCGTGGGGGGACATCAGGCTCCCAGAGCTCAGTCCCTTGAGCCTCCAGGGACGGGAAGGGGACCCCAAAGGCCGCATCTCCCCTACATCCCTCCTGGCCATCCTCCCCTACCCACCCCAGAGGGTCTGCAGCCCCACTGCTCCAGGAACAACACATGGCAGGCAGGCAGCGGAGGCAGGGGGTTTATTCAACAGCCAAGTGTAGGGATGGGGACAGCCACGATGCCCAACTGCCCATGGAACAGTGATGGGGACAAATGGGGGGAGAGGGCAGCTACCCATGGTGGGCGCAGGAACCCCAAGACCTGGGGGGTGATGCGGAGGGGTGACAAGAGCCACGGGGAGGGTGAGTGTGGGAGATGTGGATGTCCTGACTGGGGGACGGGGTACAGACAGAGCCACCACCTCCTGCTAGGGAAGAGATCCAGGGAGGAGGAGACGGGAATAACCTGTTTCTCAGGGCCATGGGAACGAGACAAGCAGGAACAGGTCTGAGGGAAGAGAAAAGGAAAAAAGGAAATATCCCAGCAAGAGATTTGGGTAAAAAACTTCCCAAGGGAGCAGTGGAGGAAGAGTGGAGGGAGCATGGCAAGGGGCTTGGGGAACAGGCTGGGCAGGCAATGCTGGGTGGCTCCTGGGTGGGGAGCAGCCACTGGCTCCCCAAATCCTTTCCAGTCTCGTTTCCCACCCAGACCATTAACTACAAAGCTGTAGGAAAATGAGAGACTTCAGCAGCTGTTGTGGGATGGAAGGCCGACGTGGCACTTGGAAAGCTCCTGCGGCTGGGTGTCACGTTGGCACAGCTCCTCCTGGTTTGGATCTGGAGGTCTCCTGCACCTCAGTATGCACTGGGCTAACTCCTGGGGAGGATGAGGATGGGAGAGCGCAGAACAGGGTGATGGATACCCACTTCCAACAGCCCCCGTTGGGGACCACGGGGGTCTGAGGTGGGAATGATGAAGGAGGATCCAGAATTTGACCATGAGGGCTGAGAGCTGGGCATGGTGGGGAGAAGGCATCCCAGACAGGAGATGGCTCTGAACAGCCGGGTGGGTCTGCGAGATGTCCCAGCAAGGGCCGAGGTGTCAGGGACAGTACCTGAATGTCAGAGCTAATGGTGGTGAAACCAGGAGACCCTCTCCAGGCTGAGGAGCAGGCAAGGTGCCCAGGACCTCATAGGGAAGGAGCTGGGGAAGGCAATGGGCACACTCCCCAAAAACGCTGTCACCCCCCAGCAGCTGCCCTGCTCCGGGAAGGGGTCACTGGGCTGGGTTTGACAATGGGCCAAGTGTTCTCCCCCTCACTCCCCAGAGCCACGTGGGCTCTCAGCCCTCCTCGATGGGGGGCACGGGGCATTTCCGATAGACGTAGACCACCCCGGAGATGTAGTCGGTGCCCTGGGTGCTCTCCTCCTCGGAGGTGGCCCTCTCCCAGTGCTCCACCTCCTCGGCCAGGACCTTCTGCCAGGCTCCCTGCCTTTCCAGCCTCTCCAGCACTGCCTCCAGCTCCGCCTTGTACCGCAGGTTCGAGGGGTTGCTCCTCGTCGTCAAGCAGAGGAAGCCTCCTGCCCGGAGAGGGGACGGAGTGATGCCCATGCCGGGTATGCCCCCGGAGGCTGGCACCCTTCAATCGGTGGCCCACTGGAAACTGGGTGACAAGAGCGGGCAGCAAGACCCTCCTGGGTGGCAGCTCAGTGGGCAGGGGACAGGCAGGACAAGGG